ATTATTAATTTAGTAAAAATTGTAACTCTTTCAGGCCTATACATTTTTACAGACTTAGCTCACATTAATTTCCTTTTACTCAGATGGGTAGTGTATAAAAAAGCCAAAAGAAAATGTAATATACTTCTAATCCCTACAAAAGTATACATTTTTTTAATGTAACGGGGTACATTTTAAAGAGGGGATAGAGAAGAAGAGGGGACATATAAAAGTACAGAGAGAGACAGACGAGAAGAAGTAATAGTTAAAAGATTTATAAGAGAACAATAGGTTCTCCTGTGTGGAGAGTGTAGTAATAAGTCTACACCCCAAACGATCAGGTAATAGTCAGTGGAGTTATGAAAGAGAGTGGTATAGTGAAGTGGTGGTAATACTATAACTAACAATAATAGTACCACTCATACACTCAACAAACTAACGACTGAATAAAAGAATAACAACTAACAATCATGTTTATTAAGAAACAGAATTAAAAAAAACGTATATCTCACATTACACAACCAAGATGACCTTGATGCAAAATACGCTACACTAAGTTATAAACAGAATGTCCTCACACTATAAAATGCAGCAACTGACAACAGAATCTACTCAACGATAAACTAGCAAGTGACGCCTAGAATCTCCTTCAGTGCTCTACAAATAATAAGCCAAATAAAGACTACAATCTAGCCATACTGCCGATTGCAGTCTAGAGACCATCTACCCTATAGCCAAATACTGACTATCATCTAGCCATACTGCCGATTGCAGTCCAGAGACCAGCTACCCTATAGCCAACCCAGCACAACCATGACAGAAACTGCCATGTCACCTGTTAAATATATTCAAACAATCTATAAGATCACATCCTAAGCATAAAAACGTGAACGCAACAATATTAATCTTATTCTACACTGCAAACAACTGCCATTCTTCATACGAATAGTTCTCACTTCAGACAGGCATTCTTATACCTTGAATAAACCTCATTCCACCAACTCACATATACTTCTCATTTAACATATATTACTATGCATAACTATACATGCACTATTTACTTTTACCACATGAATACCCATGCATTTCCTCTTCAACAACAACAGTCTGGCTTCAGACCTGGCCTTGCGTACCCCACTCACTTCAACATCTGATACTTCTGTTCCGCCCCTTTACAGGTAAATTTCATTATACCCTTGTGCTCCCTTCTCAGCAGCTTGCCAAGGACAGTTCAAGCTTGGTTGCCCCGGCTAAATATTTCACATATCTTCTTATATCTTTCTCTCTTCAAATCACATCTAAATGTTAACAGCACTATAACTGCACCATGTTAATACACATGGCATTATTATTTCCTTGCAACGCTAACTCTGCTGTTCAGTATGATACTTCACATGTCATGCTTATCTGTTATCATGACCATCACCATCATGTGCTGTGCCGGTCTTCCAGTAGTTATTATATCTTCTAACAGAAGCCTATATTCTACATGACAAACATAACACAGAAAACATCAAAGGGTTACCGCCCACTTCATACATGCACAGCAGACTACCTGCTTTTTACTAGGGACATATGATACTGGGCTACTTGGCCTAAATACCACATGGTTTCCTTTGGACTTTCTATCCCCACTGTTTGTTGTTATTTTGGTTGTCCTCCGGTGTCACGAGCTAATGCCTGCTTACAAGTGGCTAATCATACATTGCATTAATATACTTGATTCTATCATCGTGGCGATTCCTATGTCTCCATGTCCAGTTAGACAACTCGCAAGATCCACTTAATGCATATCAGAGCAGTCATCATCATGTGTTCTGCCAATAACCCAACATGCAATATAATACCTTATCTAATTACTTAACATAAACACAGTACTACTTACATAACATCCATAAATGTTTCATGCATATCTGGCAAGTTCCACAACAGAAGTATGGACTCCGCTCCATCGTATCGACAACATTCCAAAATGGGTTTATTCTGCCCCAGCACCCTTCGTTGGCGGCGGTCTCAATCTGTCTCTCTCAGTCCTTGCTTTGGCAAATATACTTTTCCTAAGTAACGCTCACCTTGGCCGTCTGTCCTACTTCTTCATGCTGACTCAGAGTTCAACATCTCTTTAATATATCCAAATTAGTCCCTGTGCCTCACCCCGGTTGCTATCCAAAGATAACCTATTTGTTTCCTGCTTACTGCTCCTCTGTCTCCAGATTTCCATTGTTACTTGTAAACCTTTTTAGGTCAATACACTTGTAACTTCTCTAAGCTGGGCCATCCTCTCTTAATGTTGTGGTTTTTTTTTCCAAATTTTTTGTAGGTGTATGCTGCTCTAGCAGTTTTACTTTCTGGGGTTTTTCTATAGCTTGATTAGTTATGCAAATTCTAAACTATCGTTCTTAGTTCAATCGTCCGTTAGAGGTCATCCTACAGCTTCTTTGTCTGTCTTTCTAGGCCAATGCTGAGTGTGCTTTTAACCTTTGTTTCTTCCTTCTGCAATTTATGAGTATATTGGCCTACTAAGGTCCTTTTCTCCAAGCTTTGTTCTGCACCTACGTCTTTGTTTGTCGACTTTTGAGTCAATGCCCTCAGGGTTGTTATATTATACTATGTAGCGACCTTTTTATTCTCAAGCGACTCTATACCTTGTTATTCCTCTGTGTGTTTCTTTCCTTCTTATAATATTCGTGACTGCAGTCAGTACTATCACATAAAGAGAAATGAATGTACATTTTAAATCTGATAATACGTATATGTTTAATCCTGTTAATTTCAGAAGGAAAGCAGAATTCAGCAGGTTTTAATTTCACAACAACAAAATTTTACAAAAACAATTCTTTACTTACAATGGTTTTGCTGCTACAAGAGCAGTGAACATCCCAATTTGAGAATAACGCTTTAAAGAATGTTAAATATCCTAACAAATCTCAAAGTTATGAAAAGTTTCTGGGTTAGTTTGGCACTCAAGGGCTCTAAATTCCAACAGAGTGCTGAACACATTTTCCCACACAAAAAATTTTGAAAAATGGACCATTACACACAATATTTACTTTGTACAGTTATATACAGATTAACGGTACCTATAATGGAATCAATGCCGAAGGGTTGCGATATCCATAGTACCGAGCCAAAGGGTTTACAACTCATGGTTTCTGGATACGTTAAAAAAAAAAAAAATATACTGACTTAGTGATTTATTAAGTATAAAGTAGAAGCAGGTCAAACCTTTGTCTGGCACAGACATGTTGGATTTGAAGCAAAAACAGTGATGTCCTGAAAATATGTTTTTTTTACACTTTCTATAAGCCAGTCCTTTGTGAAATTTCCTAGACTTATAAAAAAAATGAACAACACAACTAATTGGCTAAATCTGGCTAATTTAGAAATTTATGAACCCACCATGAAATACACTGCAAGCTTCCCACACAAAAATTCAAAGTATCATTTGCGCTGCAAAACCATGTTATGTCACAGCTTGGCATCTCTGCAATAACTCCTAATAATTGTCTCCAAATGATTTTTCACGCAAAGAGTATGGAAAAAATAATTTCTCATTGATGGTCAGTGCTCCTTTTTTCACAATCGCAGTGCCAAAAAAAGGTAAATTTAATGGCCTATTAGCTTCCATTACAATATCATCCCTAATATTATTCATTTGTATAATATAGTAATTGATGAGGTACTGGTAGTAATTTGGTTATAGATTAGGATATGTATAGTAATGGAGTCGTATGTCTGATAATTATGTTTGGTTATGCAATATTGCCTAGCTTAATTATTAACTATATAAGGTTGTAGGGGTATAGATTGTCACATTCAGTATATTTTAAATGTACTTTCAAACAGTTATAGCAATTAAATTGATATTGCACAGTGATTAAAATTTTGTAATTATATTGATGAAGTGTATACTTTCTGGGAAGTCAAGTGTATATTTTTTGGAAGTTTAGAGTATTGTCTAGATATCAAGCTGTTACATTTATACATAAATAATTCTGCACTTTTCACATTAATAGTTTTCTGTTCTTCTGATGCAATTGTGTTTTTATCTCCAAATGGAGCATGGGACCTCAACAAAGTGGCACCAAGCACTCCAACCAGTTGCCATCATCTGCTGTCTCTGTTTCAAAGTCTCCATCTGATCGCTTTTGCCCTTAGATTCCACATCAAGAATTTTTTTAATTATACTCAATGTGGTTTTATAGATGACTGATGAGAACACCCTGGACAGATCAAAAGAGTCTTGAGGGTTTCTTGCAAGAAACTGATTCATGAAGAGAAATGATTGCCTACATCAGAAAAATTTACATTCTTTGGTTATGTGATGAGAAGGAGAAAACTGGAGTACATTGTGACAGTAGGAAAGTTTGGGGGGAGGGGGAAGGCAGACCAAGAGAAAAGTTGCTGGGCAATTTGACATCAGGGCATGGATGATCATCTGTATCAGAGTTGATTAAAAGTACACGAGACAGAAGGTTATGGATAGACATGACTACCATAACCATATGGACTTTGAGAAGAACAACAGATTTTCTTAGTGTGATTCTTGTCCCCTCCATAGTCCATCCCCAGCATCTTTTCCTCAGCTCTCGATTAATTTGTTGGAATTTGTTTTCTCTCTCTCTCTCTCTCTGTCTTTTCCATGGATTCTGACAGACTCTTGTTGTCCTTCTGTTCTGTGCGTAAACTGTTACTGTGTGTTTATTTTTGAGAGAATAGACTGCAAGCACAACAAGTTGAACATGGTGATTATCTGAATCTAAACTGTTTTCCTGTGTGTATATGTGTGGGGAGCAGAAGGAGAAGGTTAGCATGATATTGTCTTCAATGTTTTCACATGCATAAATTAAGTAATCTTTTCCCATAGAACTTTCATTAATTTTTTTATGAAAGTGTTTTTTTTTTTCAAATTATTTTTAGTCAAAACATTTTTTATTCTTGTCTGTCACAGAAACAATATTTTTTACGGATATCAAGGTCCAGACAAAGTGGTTTTAAATAGATCTGAATTGACTTCTGTCATGTCTGAAATTGGAGAAAAACCTCCTGCTCCACCCATGAGACTTGAGAGCACCAGGTCAGTTCAGTTTTTTTTTAAATTTAGCCATTCCTATTCTGTCTTTGATTTCTGTTTCACTTCTGCCATCATCTGTTACTGTGTGTCCAAGATAGGAGAAACTTGTTACTTGTTGTTATATCTCTTTGTTTACTGTGATGTTCACCACTGGTCGCTCTTTTACATTGTTAATTACCATGGTTTTTGTTTTTCAAATGATAATGTCTTAACTATGACTATTCAGCTGGCAGCCTATGGTCCATATTTGGCCCGCAAAAGCCTAGAAAGTGACCAGCAAATTACTGCCATTTGTATAATATTAATGATCTTTCTATGTCTGGCCCTTGACACGCCTCATGTTCAATATTTGGGCTCCCAAATAAATTCAGTTGAATAGCCCTAGTCTAAACCATACTCTGCACTCCATCTGTTGACTTTATCCACTAGGTCTTGTAACTCCTACTCGCTTTCTGCTGGTAACACTGTATCATTAGAATATCTCAGATTGTTTTTTTTTCTTCCATTAATATTCAATCCAGACATATCTTCTGCTTGTTTCAAAATGTTTTCTGCCAAAGCTAGATAATAATTGTATCATTTCCAGTGTTAAATTGTCAGGACCTGTGGCTTTTCAAAGCTTTATATTTTAACATCAGGCATATAGGGCCAGACCTATATTTTTTAGATCAATCAGTACAAGATGGGTTTATTCTGCCCCAGCACCCTTCGTTGCCGGCGGTCTCAATCTGTCTCTCTCAGTCCTTGCTTTGGCATATATACTTTTCCTAAGTAACGCCTGCAGCCTTTGCTTCCTGGGACCTCACCCAGTACCCACTCAAGGCTGGGTCGAGCTGGGAGCCAAGGTCTTTTTTGAAAAAAATCCGGCTCCACCAGAGAGTGAACCCACCACCTTCTGATCTGCGGCGAATGTCTAGCCACTGTGTTTTAAGTACAATTTGTGTAACCCATTTTAATGAAAATAGTGTTAAAAAATATGTATTCAGTTTATGACCATTTTGGGAGTTGCTGTGTTAATGGCAGCTAGATGCCCACCTGCAGATCGGAAGATCATGGGTTCACATCCTGATGCAGCCAGATTTATTTTTTCTAAAATGACCTTGACTCCTAGGCTGACCCAGCCTTGAGTGGTTTCCAGGTGCAGTCCTGGAAAGTAAAAGTGGCCGGCAGAATGCTGACCACATCACCCACCAAGTGCCGATTGGTCTATAAAAATATTGGTCCAGCCCCATATATTCCAATACGCCTCAAGGCATATGTTCATTTAGACTCAGCATCTGTCTGTAGGATGGAACTCAGTCATAAGACAAGGAGACTCTGTTTTTACATTAGTAAACAAATACTTACTTCAGAAAGCCATTGCAGGCAGACTTTATTATAGAGACAGCATCCTTTTAGATACTTGTAGATAAAAAATATGAGACAGAAGATTCTTCATCTTACATGTACATTTTTGAAACATTAATTTGTATTTGACTTTTCATTTTAGATACATACATACATAAAATTCAAAATCAAATAATCAGCAATGTGTCTGAGACACAGTTTAGGTTTCAGAAACACATGGCACTAGGGAAGCCATAATTTGTCTAAACACACTGACTATATATTAACATTTTTCTTTTAGATTTTTTATATTTGGATATTTACTTTCTGATTTGTAAATGTTCAGGGAAGCATCTCTGTCTCAAGAAACCAAGCCTTTACCCAGGGAACCAGACGGTAAAGAGGAAAGAAAAAAGCAAAAAATGATTAAAGGTAAGAGTATGTCTACTTATGGCAAGTACTATCTTGAACCTGCTGTTTAGGAGTACGTTATGGTGCTGTATGTATTTAGATAGATTTCCCTGTGTGGGTTCTGGGGCCCATTTGTTACATTCCTGTAAAATAGGCTCTACTGTTATCTCAGATTGTTTATACACTCAGTCAGAGCCAACTTGAATGTTAAACTTGCCGTATAGTGACCTTGAAGTTTGCAGTGTCCTGTTCTTAGTGTGAAAATTGATTGTTTACTTACTCTTTCCTGTTTGGATTTTGGGACCTCATTGTGGAGGGGGGGGGGGGGGGGAATGGAAGAATATCTCCCCTCCCTCACTAAGCATGTCATAAGTAGCAACTAATTATAGGTGTTACCTTCGAAGTTGGAGGCTGTCTGCCTGAGAGGTGAGGAACCAACAGTCTGCATGCACAAAAAAGCCATTCGTTAAACGAGTATGCCCGCAGAACTTTAGAACAAGATCAAAGTCTCGAAGGCGACCACCAACCAGGACCTTCCACCAGAGTTTACAACCTGTTAATGCTAAGGAGAAAAAGATACCATGATAGTAAAGTAACTAGCATGCTTGGCTGTCAGGCTGGTAGTTGTAGAGTCAAATCCCCATGCAAATATTCATAGCCAGAAATCAATTTCCCATGTATCCATCAACACTCATAGTGAGGAGAGAAAAGAGATTAAGATCAGAGGACAAATTCCAAGGAAGTTAACCCAGTCAGCAAGTGCTCACTGAAATCAGATGTGTCGACCGAAAGGCACAAATATCTCAGCTGTGCTGTAAATTGGCACAACACAGTTGCATCACTTAGTGGAATGAGGAGAAGAATATGAAAAATTCAATCTCTGGACTAACTGGTATTTACTTGCTTACTTCCAAATAACACCACTGTCTTGCTGAAGAAACAAGTTTGCCTCTCAAAACACAACCAATGAGACACCATTAAGAAAGTGTTACTAATATTTCTTTCTGGCCAGTATTACCCTGTGGTTAACCCAGTATCATAAAATGGGTACTAGTTAATTTCCTGAATTTTTTTTGAGGATTGTAAGTTGTTAGTCGAGGTTCCAATATCTCTGCAGACATGTTGTCCCATACCTTCTCCGTTCCTGTGCCAGTGGAAATTACACAGAAAGTTCTTTACTGTCCCATTTAAAAACTAGTGAAAAACTTGTCAGTCTCAGCAACATCTTGAAGCTTGCACACCCAGAGTAAATATGCATAAGGCAGCTGTCAGATATGGCATCACTAACAGTCCCACACAATAATTGCAGCTCACTTTTGGCACTAGAGAGAAAAGATAATTATCTAGGAAGGAAGGGCAATGCGTCAGGTAATTGTTCACAGTAATTATATGTTGCGGCTTAGAGTATATGGAGGCCTAACAGCTCACACCATGCTGTCAGTATCTTCTATGGGCTAACCTTCTGTCATCATTAGTCAGGCGTGCGAGGTCATGAAAGAGTGGATTTTTTTTATTTTGTTGACTAATAATTTGACAACGGTTGAAATACTCACTAGACAAGGCAGACATTCTGAAGATCATTTGGGAACAAATGCTGATAATAAAAGGTACAACATTATACCAAACAACATGTGTAAGCTTGCATGACTTTATAATTAGTCTAAATCCAGTAATAATAAAAGCTAGGAAGAATTCAACATGTGTACTATTATGCTACTGGGGCAGTTAGAATTTACACCTTAAGATATTTACTGCAGGAGCATCTGTGAATATGCTTCATATGCTGTGATGTTGATTCTTAAATCTGTTCTCTGCAAACGGGTAGCAAGGATTTGTTTGTACATGTCCCACCTAAAACATGGGAAATGCCTGCGCATAACTCATAGCCTCTGCCAGTCAAGTCAACCATGGTGCTACCTGTTGTAATAGACACATATCGCTGGGCCCACTAGCATACATGTTCCCCCATCCCCACCAAGGTCACACTGAGAAGGGGAACTCCCACAACCTCTGATGTCTGGAACCAGGACACAGATAGGGAGACTCCGTAACTTCCCCCACCGAAGACAGACATGCCGGCCCGAATGGTGTGGGCACCCAGAAATGGAAACGGACATCAACACGGTCTACAGGTAATAAATATGATTAGGTACCTACACTACATTAGGGCTGCTCCTGTGGACTACTGCCATGCGGGAACAGCGCCGCATTCCAAGCCTTGAAGGGATCCACCCCAAACTACTGATGGTAGCTCTGCGCATCGGTGGGCCAGGATTAAGCGGAGTAATTCGTCTGGCCAAAATAATACCAAATCACTAAAGGTAATGCAGTTGAATGTGGAAGGGGTCATGATAAAAAAGCTTGAACTGCAAAAATTCATCTACAATCAAAAGATTGATGTTCTGCATTCAGGAAACTCATTTAAATATGGGCTGTCACTTGTCTGTCAGAGGCTATGAAACATATAGGCTAGACAGAGATGGCCACAAAGGAGGCATCATTACTATGCAGCCACAAAAAACCAGAAGCGTCAATGAGTCTGAACATCTGACAGTTTTTGTTTATTCTACTGACCAACATTATGGCACACAGGTGTAACCCATAAGCGCTCCATTCTACTTCTAAATAAAACACTCATCAAGAGAAAATACAAGAAATTGTGGAGAGAACAAACCCACCAGTAAACATCCACAAGACCCCATCAACAGTCTCAACAGAAAGCAGCCGTTGACAGTTTTCCATCTACGAACAGGACACTGCAGGCTCAACTACCACATGCATAAAATAAAGACTGTACAGTCCTTACAGTGTGCCTGTCAGACAGAACCAAAACACCTGATCACATTCTGCAGACCTGCCTACTCTGTATATAGCTTCGAAAAGAAACCTAGTCTCAAGAGCAAAGTGTGCAGAGCAAGTTGTGGGGAACCATGAAGGACCTGCTGCTTACATGCGAGTTCATAGGGGCAACCCACCTAATGGTCTGATCTGAGCATATGATACCGACCGCAAAGAAGAAGTTCTCTGCAAAACGTAGTCAGGTCTATGTAGAGACATACATTGTGTATAACAAGGACTAAAATCATGCCCAAAGCAAGAAACTTCTGAATATAATAAATGTAAATAAATAGTATGCATGCTACAAGCTATACTCCTGCAATAAATTTATGTGTGTCTCTTCCCCAAGGTGGTAAGATTTTCAAGCCTATCAATGACAAGCCAGTGATATCTCACCCATCGAACTTTGAGCACACTGTTCATGTTGGCTTTGATGCTCACACAGGGGAGTTTACGGTACACAAATCTTGTTTAAGTAACACTACAACTAATTAAATGTAGTCTTATTAATAATGTTTAATGTCAGTTTTCTAATAAATTAAAGTAGACAAGTTGCGAAGGGAGATGGAAAATTTAGATACCTACCGTATTTTTCCGTATATAAGACAGTATGTTTTCCCAAATTTTTTCAGTTTAAAATTGAGAGTCGTCTTATAGACGGAATGGGTTTTTAATATTTATTTCTTAAATTTGGGCTGACAAAAAAATAAGGGTCGTCTTATCATGCAGTCTTTTTATACATAGAAAATACTTTGAGGTTTGAACAACGGATCAACATCATGGCACATGGGTAGTAACCCATAAATACTCTGTTTACTTGTAACTTGACTTCAAGTCTGAGTCCGAAGTAGCTCAGTGCAGTGCCCTGGTGAGGATCCTGAAATATCTTGAACTCCAAATTTTGCCCGGGCAGTGCTGTAGGGCTTCTCTTTTCGATTTCCAACTGCCCGGGGATTTTTTACATGTGCAACAATACACCTGGGCATCCAATCTCACTACCCAGAGACCAGGGGAAATTACTAGAAGTCCAGATGAACAGAAAAAATCATAGCCTTTAGCGGGGCCTGAACCCGGGACCTCCAGCACTCGAGGCGGACACTGTACCTTAAGACCTTGCAGTTCCCAAAGTATTGTAAATATTTGGAGAAGAAATTGTAAGAAATTAGTTAAACAGTATTAAAACAACATTGAGATGTTGTTAGAAGACACTCGAAAAAAAGAAGGGGATAATAATGATATAGGTTCACCAAATCACATTTTGTTTCTTACTACAGGGTATGCCAGATGCGTGGGCCAGGCTTCTCCAGTCGGCAAATATCTCCAAGTCTGAACAGAAGAAAAACCCACAGGCTGTTCTGGATGACAATCGGCACAAGATGTGGTCACCCACGCCGGCCGCCTCAACTGCACCTGTACCCCACTGGGGTCAACCTGGGAGTCAGGGTCATTTTTTTAGAGGAAAAGTCCGGCTCCGCCAGAGAGCGAACCCTTCAATCTTTCGATCCACATGTGAGCGTTTAGCCGCTATGCCACGGCGGGTCCCAAAAATGCACTTGGGTCAAGTGAAATAAAACATTAATCCCCACAATGACCTATGAGGATCGTTTTAAGAAAAAAATGGGAAAAGACAGAGAAATAACTTATATGGTTCATTGTCTTCTAACTGTTAATAAATAATTGCACCTCAGCCTAGATTTAATTTGTAGTTAATGACTGCTTGATATGTTTTTTGCTAATTTTGTTTTGCTGAAGAATTCACAAAACCATTGGTTATTTCTTTAACACACTTCCACTGGTGAGTTCATTTCTGATGCTTAGGTTTTTTTTTTTTTGTTTTTTTTTTAACTTTGCTATTATTTTCATAATAGTAACTTCATTTCTGATGCTTGGGAATTTAAAAAAAAATCTTTTCAGTATCTCCAGAGTAACTTCATTTCTGTTGCTAGTGGATTAAAAAAAAATCTTTTTAATATCTCCATAGTAACTTCATTTCTGATGCTTGGGGATAAAAAAAAACCTTATCGGTATCTCCAGAGTAACTTCATTTCCTTTGCTAGGGGACTTTTTTTTACAAATATTGTCAGTATCTCGATAGTAACTTCATTTCTGTTGCTTAGGGATTTTTTTTTAAATCTTGTCACTTCTTCTTCTTTGATCCTTCTGTCAGAAAACTTATATCAGGAGGCCAGTAGCCTTTATGAAAGCTATCGTGCAATCCATATCTTCTCGTCACTGTCTCTAGAGTTACTTCATTTCTTTTGCCAGGGGTCTTTTTTTTTTTACAACTTTGTTGAAGTTCATTGAATAAGGGGTTAAAAGTCCTGCAGAGTGTCAAGCATCACTTCGGAGATCCCGGTTAGTTATCATCCTTTGGATATTTTCTCCAGGTTGTGCCGGTGTGTGTTGGAAAGTTAGCAGGAAGATAGAGTGGCTGTTTATGCACCACTTGGTGGTGAGTTGATGTTTGACAAGCTAGATATTGATAGGGCCCTTTGGGAGCGATTCAACAGTGCCGAGGTACAGATAGATTGGTGAGATCTGAGTAGAATGGCGCTGCAAGAATTACCAGGGGATTTGGTTGACGTTCAACACTCAAGGGAAAAGCAAGACTGATATACAATCAGACAGTTACTGGTACCATCAGAATTGGAACTCTTCACTTTCTGCTGAAGATGAGGACAGAGCGCTTATGGGAGTACCAAGATGGCTTACTGGATTTGTTTTTATTGTGTGTTTTACAGGTGGTTCTTCAGGCAAGTACAACATATCAGACAAGTTGCCTCCTTTTGTAGATATTTTTCAGGTGAGATTTCTTCGTTTCTCTTTCAGTTAGCCTCATAATTATTCAGGGAACTCCCAATATGTTCATTTGTTTTTCTTCATGTAGTAATCATTGCTTTACTCTTTCTGCTCGTTCTTCTGTTTTGGTAGCCAATCCTATCTCAGTTGTTACTGTAACTTTGTTTGCCACAAAACTGTTTTTCAATTCCATTAGTAAAAATATTTATATGGTACAAAAACTTTATGATATGCATTATTGAATCTGTAAGGAGTAGGGGGAATATGTCCACTTTCCCCTGTCAAGCATGTTGTGCAAGGCGACTTATTAGGGATGTTGGCGTCGAAGTTGGACTGCATCTACCTGAGTGGCAAGGAACCAACAGTCTGCATAGAACTAAGCCAGATCTGTGAAATGGATGTGCACACAAAACTCAAGTTCTGGAACAGGATCAGTGAACGAACTCCATAAGTGTTTGTTTTGCAGTTTATTAGGGTACAACATTTACAGTATTTTTTTTTAATGAATTTTTTTTTTTCATTCCTTCTTGATCTTCGGGTAGCAGACGATTTCAATGTGATGTCTGTGGGCTTCTTTTATGGGGATTTCCAGATACATTGTAAGGTTAATTTCTGCTCAGTTCGGTCTGGTTACACTTCATTCTATTTCTTCAAGCACTAAAATAATCCCCTGCTGACTTGCTAGGCCATTCTCATGGTAATAATTAAAAAAACAGACCTATATGAGTTCATCCAACATAAACCACTGAGAGGTGGGGTTAAAATATGTTCTGCTAATCATTGGCAGGCTAATGATCTATTCTTGTTCCCCCTCAAGAGGGATTACCCCAGTCCTGTTTGTAGAACAGTGTACAGGATTTCTGATTTGATTTAATTTGATTCAAGAACTGATATCACAGCACTCTGGGCATTCCCATAAGTGCTCCGTCCCCATCTTCAGCAGCCAGCGAAGAGTTGCGATAGTAATGATGCCAGTAGCATTCTGATTAAATGTCTGTCTTGCCTTTCCTCTGAGCCTCGAGCATCTGCCAGAACCTCTTGTCACTCTCCCCCTCCAAACTGTACACGCACTCCCACAAGGCACTAACCAAGTCTGCCTTATCATGCATCACTATTCCACCAAGCTGTGCAGAGCCAGCCAGTCTGTCCTCCTGTTGAGGATCTCTTTAAGTTATGACTGATTTCTGTTCCATCGAACTTGTTGTAAGTTGGATTTATATTTTTCAACCCTATTTTCATTTTGACGGGTTACACAGATTGTACATAAAACACACAAATTCAATCTACGCATATATAATTTTTGTGCATAATGTGAAAACTACCATTGATCACTGGGATCATGAGATATAATAGTCTGAAATGGTTTGGGCATACCGAGAGAATGTCAAATGACAGAGAGGTAAAAACTGTATACACAAGGGATCTGAATAGTCGTAGACCACGAGGCGACCAAGAAGACGATGGAGAGATAACGTCCTGACAGACCTGCAAACACTTGATGTCACCAACTGGATAGAGAACGCCAACCAGAGAGATAAATGGAGGCTGGTGATATCTGCAGCCATAAACCTCAAGGGCTCGGAATGCTGAAAAAGAAGAAGAATGTGAAAAATACAAATGTACTTTATTGCATCAGTTTCTGGAACTTACTCACTTAGCAGTGTAGTTATCTTTCTTTATTTACTGTTTTATTAATTAATTTTGTGTGTGTGTGTGTGTGTGGTCGTACGTTCTGTTGACTGTAAGTCACATGGGTGGTAATTCAAGGAGATGCCCACTGTGAGACTTTTATTGTTTTACTTTTTTTATCAGTTTTAGTGTGTTTTCATTTCTGGCAGTACTATTGTATATATGCTCAGATGTGTTCCCACAATCACCTAAATTCATTTTATTGTGTTACCTGACAGACAAAGCTCAATTACAACCAAGCACATTCTGAAGAATGTGACGAGGAGGAGGAAGAGGATATGCCTCCTCCTCCAATCGCCAGTCGACCTCCTAGAACTATATCCATGGTTAGTTACATGCGTCTAATTTGTTTGTTGCATAACATGTAGTTTAAATACCAGAATGTCTAGTAACATGTGTATGGACATCTTATTCTTAACTAATGATGGATCTATAATTAAATTGCTACTGGCATCATAGGCATTAGAACTCTTGCTGACTCCTGATCATGAGGATGGAGCACTTATGGGAATGCCCTGAGTGCTGTAGTATCAATACTTAAGTCAGCTCAACTCAACTACATTTATTCTTAACTATTAGATCAGATCAGTTGCAGTCTTCACAATAATGATATAATTTATGTAGCATACACTGGATACAATAAAGCAGAATGTCTGCAAAAATATATAGTGCAATATTATGTCTTCATTTCTTTAATAACTGAATTGTTTGTTTACATATTGTAGACATTATTGAATACATCTCTGTGTGGTTTCTCGGAGCAGTCCCTGACCCCCAGCTGGCATATAGTAGGAGACAGAAACTAATTTCCTCCAAGGTCAGAGAGGCGAGGAACAACAATCTGCATCCGTCAGATCTGTAAAATGGATATGTATGCAAAACTCAAGGTCTGAAAAAAGACCAAAGTCCAGAAATGGACGAACGGCCATGACTTTCCACCTCATTATGCAGCTGGTGAAAGCTAAGAAAAAGAAGAAGAGGGGACACAATTATGATTATGGATTACAGTTGCCCTTTTCCTTGACATATATTTACCGTCATATGTCTGATATTTTGTAACTGTTATGGATTACAATTTCCTTGTCCCTTGACAACTTGTATTTGCCCTCAGTTGTCTGATATTTTGTAACTGAGAATTTAAGGAACTTTTGAGATGCTTCAGACTTCATCTTATGTATTTGGGAGTCGCCGTGGTATAGCGGCTAGACGCTCACCTTTTAAAAAATTACCTTGGCTCCCAGATCGACCCTGCCTTGAGTGGGAACCAGGTGCGGTCCTGGGAAATAAAGGTGGTTCGTATTACTCATCAAATGCCGATCGGTCTATAAAGTATAGGTCTAGCCCTATATGCTCAATACACCTGGAAGCATGGAAAAGGGTCCTTTACTCTTTTTTTTTGGGGGGGGGGGGGTTAAACTTTGCTTATGTATTTACCCTTTTCTTGATGTATTGCAGTAGTGATGATGCAGTTATTCTTAGCATGATTTTTGCTGTTAATATATGTGGATTTAAAATAATGGTTATTCTTTAATCTTTGAACACGGAACGGGTTTCTTTTCAAGAGATTTTGGCTATTATCTAAGATTGCATGCACAGGATTTGCAAGCCCAGTTCACCTTTTTAAAAATTAAATTTTTTCTACAAAAATATTTTACTCAAATTATCATAATAAAACTAAAATCAATTGAAGCTATTTATGAGATTAAAGTTTTGTTGTTGTTGTTGCATGTATGTAATAATACAAATGAAATGCTTAATACCTATTACAATTGGCAATAAAATTTTATTTGTTTTAAATAAAACAATCTGCAAATGGGTAGATTTGATTTGTTGCCAATCCTGTATATGTGACTGATGTCAATGTGGCAGTCTCTTTTTTTTTCCAGTACACAAAACCTGTTGAGCAGGATGAAAACACTGTGGACGGTGCCACAGAGAACAAAGCAGAGAAACCAAAGAAAGCCAAGATGACCAATGAGGAAATCATGGAGAAACTCAGAACTATTGTTACAATAGGAGATCCAAACAGGAAGTATACAAAGATGGAAAAGATAGGACAAGGGTGAGTTTCTCAAGTTTTTGAGTTGAGTTCCAGTCAAAATGGATGCTAGATATGGTCACTTTTTTGAGGTGTGGCAAATTGTTTTTGGTGGACGTTTCATTTTTGCTCCATTTGTAGACTGAAAGCAAATAGTTTTGTTGCACAGTTACTGAGTTGAGTGCATGGCACGGCACTGTGAGCTGCTGATTTTATTTGGAATGTTTTTCGACTGTGACCAACGAAGTGTTGTGAATTGTAAATTCAGAAAATGGCGTGTGACCTGTCATCGCAATATTAGTGGTGCCCTTATGTGATTAAAATTGATCACGTGTGCTACTGTTGATGATGAACAGAATTTCTAATGTCAGACTGTTTGTGTTAGCACTTCTGATTTCTACTGTATGCTTTTAATATAGTGTATGCTAGTGCATATGCAGAAACAGCAGTCTGTCAATCTTTCCACAAGGGACTGTGATGGACATTCTGTGTGTTTTTTGTTGGCCCAGGAGCAGAGCAACTATGGGGTGACCCGTTTGCTATGAAGCTTCAACTAAGATGACCAGGATTACCAAATAAAATTGTTTGCCCACTTGGACAGAATGCCTTGTGATGCTATACCAGACAAGGCATACACCAAAAAGAGGACAAGGGCATAGAGCAGGAGTTAGTCCAAGAACAAGATGGAAAGATAACGTTAGACAGCACAATGTATCTCTGGTCAAGACGGATAGAAAAGCAAGAAGCTGAACCTTTTATCTCTTTTGACACCCAGAATGATTTTAAAAAAAAGAAAGGAAGTGAAGAAGAAGAGACCTCATTTAATTTGATGTTATTTTAGTTATACAGAACAAAATGCTTGCCACACTAACATGGCAGCTGACTTCCACAGAGCATCAGGGACTGTGTACATTGCAATAGAGGTGGCCACGGGAAGAGAGGTTGCTATCAAAACCATGAACCTATCCCAGCAACCTAAAAAGGAATTAATCATCAATGAAATTCTAGTCATGCGAGAAAATCAGAACCCTAACATTGTCAACTACCTCGACAGTTATCTGGTTGGAGAGGAATTGTGGGTATGTTATTTAGTTTATTTAAATGCTTTCACTTTAAGGTCTTTTTTTTAATCGGATTTTATAGTCTGATTTTTAATTTTAAAGATGGGTACGAAACTCTTTAGTGGCTCATTAGCTTATTCTTCATAAATTAATGTGATCATTTTTTTATGGGAAAGGGAAATAAGTTATTACAGGAAAACCCCCATGTGGGTTCCAGGGTCCAATTATGAGGGGGAAAAAAAGAATAGACCCACTGCCCCTAACAAGCATGCCATAAGAGTCAACTGTTTAGGGATGTTTCCTTCAGTGTCAGTGTGCATCTACCTGAGAGGTGAGGAACCAACAGTCTGCATAAAAATAAGTTGGATCACTGAAACCGATGTTCTTGCATTACTCAGGGTCTGGAACAAGACTAAAATCCAGAAGTGGATGAACAACCAGAACTTGCTGCCAGAGTTTACAGCTAATGAACAAAAAGAATGACCCTGTGGAAGTTGACTCCTGAAACTCCTGTACTACTTACTGTATTAGTAAACAGATGCACTTTACCACAGGTTGTGTTAGGTTCATCAGTCTAAAGGCCGACATGAAGGTTTTTGTTCTAATGTGTCATTCTACTGTAAATATACATTTGTAATTATCTGTTGAGTTCAATTGAGTCAAGAATTGACATCACAGCACTCGGGGCATTCCCATGTGTGCTCCGTCCTTATCTTCAGCAGCCAGCGCAGAGTTCCAATACTAATGGTACCGGTCGTAATCTGGTTTTATCTCCGTCTTGTTATTCGCCTCAGTGTAGTGAGCCGGCCAGACCCCCTGGTTACACCCAGGTTCATCATTCTCTCCAGGCCATAATAATCTTGTTTCGCTTCTGACTCCCTTGCTTGTTCCCAAAGGGCCCTGACCACTCTACCTTGTCATTTATCAATTTCACCATCCAGTTGTGCAGATCCAGCCAATATGTTTGCCTGTTCATTCCCCACCACACCAGCATAGCCTGAAGAAAAAATCCAAAGTATGCTCACTACCCTTGACCTTCCTAGTGAAGCTTGCCACTCTGCTCGAAGCATCCCTGTCTTCACCTTTCTCAGCATGCTTTCAGAGTCTGTTACAATTATGACATGTTTGTAATGATCTGTGTAACTGGACAATTAGCTGACAAGCCAGAAAATTCCCTAAGGCCTTGGAGATCTTCTCTTAAAGAATTGTTAAAATTCCTTGGATATGAGTAATATAAATGTTTTATGAAAGGGTTAGTTCTGAAAACAACTGATCGTGAACATCATTAGTGAAGGAGACAGACACAATTTTTTTGTTTTTGTTACCACATTGTCAAAAGACAAAATCTGGAACCTGCTGTGATCACTGGAGAGATTTATAGGCAGAAATATAGAGAGGCAAGAGCACGTTTTGGATTTTTTAAAAATAAAATACCTGTGTGGGTTCCTTGGCCCCATTGGGTGGGGAGGGGGGGGAACAAGAATAATCTCATTGTCCCCTGACAAGCATGTCCTAAGAGTCAACTACTTTCCTTTGAAGTCGGAGTGCATTTAGCTGAGAGGCGAGGAATCAACAGTCTGCGTATAAGTAAGCCAGATCTGTTTAAAAAAAAGATATGTACACACAACTCAAGTTCTGGAACAAGACTTAAGTCCAGAAGTGGATGAACAACCAGAACTTTTCCCATGAGATTACAGCCGGTGAATGCAAAAAATAAGAAAATTACAGCTTTTTGTAATGGCATGAAACGTTGTCAGTACATAGATTGATACATACGGTTGAATATCGCAAGATACAGAGAAGCAGCATTGCCCTACGCCAATTGATGGGACAAATTTTGCTGATGATAACCTGTCCATAGTTGTATTCAATGAAAATTAATGCACGTTTCCCAGACAAGCGTTCAGTTCAGCTCACTGATGAGACAGAAAAACTAGACTATGCTCATCCAGCATTCTCAGAGGAGGAGCTTTTGCATATATTGTAGGCTGTGTTTATTTGTGCCATAGTCATGGCTAAAAACCGCTTGCCACCAAGTTGCTCTAAAAAGAACTCTTGCAGTGTTGATGCGATGATCAGACCCAACCACCTTCTGACTGGTGTCAATGCAGACACATGTATGATAGCAGTTTTTTTTTTAAATAACAGTATATATGCCATACTTTACAGCCTGTGTGTTCTGTGTGTCTTCATTAATAGGTTGTCATGGAGTTCTTAGCTGGAGGTTCTCTGACTGATGTTGTCACTGAAACATGCATGGATGAAGGTCAAATTGCTGCTGTCTGTAGAGAGGTACTTGCTGACAGCTTCTGTCAATAACTGAATATATTCTTAGATGATTTTTTTTTTTTTTTTTTTAACTATCTTTTCTTGCTATTTTTAATATGGGAAGATTTCAAAAAACCACATCAAAAATGCTATCAGCAGTACGAACTTTCTGCTTTTGTTTTGACTTACCTACTAGACCGCCTAGCCATTCTAACAGCGATCAAATTGTAAGTGCAATATTAATTCCAACTTTGGGCAATCAGTTCAGGCGTGAACATTAATCCAAAGAACATGAGAGAAAACTCATCACCTGTGAAATTAGATAGTTAAGAAAGGATGTTAACAAAACCCAAAGATGCTGACAACAAGAATGTACACCATGGAAATTGAAACACCAAGAGACAGATGGAGACCTGGAAGAAGACAGATTGAAGGAGTCACTGACGGGCAGCTTAAGATTTTCACTTTTCTTGTTAGCATTCACTGGCTGCAAACTCCGGTGGCGGTGGAAAGTTCTGGTTGTTCGTCCTCTTCTGGATTTTGGTCTTGTTCTAGAATGTGAGTTTTATATGACAACAATTTTACAGATCTGGATTATTTAGGTGCAAACTGTTGTTTTTCACCTATAAAGCAGACTTCAAAACAGAAACTGATCTGAATAGTAAACTTTTATGACAGGCTTGTTAGAGGCGAAGGTTTATTCTTGTTTCTACCAAAATGGGGCCCTGGAATCCACATGGGGATAAGACCTCACAGCATACCAAGCACACCCTGGCTCATCTGCCTAGCATCCGTTAAACTGTAGCATCTAATGGCTCAAAGCAGAAACTGACAATAAAAGAATCCTAAAACAACTCCAAGGGTAAGTTGCAAAAAACTGTATCTTTTAATAATGATGACAGCATCCAGGAAATTAACATGTTATTCAGTGTTTTAGTGATTAGATACAAATAAATCAACAAAAGAAAAGTTAAAGACCCCAAAAAAGTGAATATGTTGACCAGTCTTTATCAAGGAACAAAATAACAGGGATTCTTCACTACAGAACTACAGAAACCAAACAAGTTGATCTGAATGGCAGGAAAAAAAATGATTACTTAGTAGAAATTTGGAAGAGAAATTCATTAACACAACCAAATCTATATTAAAGGATCATTCTTCTCGCTTTTGGACAGTGGAAGGGTGGCATCATGGAAGAGATATAGGGCTCCACGACATACTCCCAAAGAAAACAACGTATGCACATACCCAGTATAGCCAACCTTACTGACGCGATGGTACGTTTACACACCGTCACTCTCTGCACGGCACGCCTAAAAGTCTTTCTTTTTTTTTTCAAGCCATATAATCATGTTATACACCAGTCATCACTGGATGGAGGATGTCGTCAACATATTACGTTCCACCTTTACTTCCTAGTAATTTTGCTGCTACCCATTTTAGGCTAGGTCAACCTAAAGAACTAGGTCAGTTATAAAAATCTGCCTAGGTCAAGCTGCTATGGCTTTGATTTACTTACAGTTGCTGCATTCCTCCATTAACTGGTATTACAAGCTTATATCTGCCAGGCATCAGTTTGTGACAGTATTCTTTTGTTTTCCCTCCAGTTTTGCAAAAAGAGAACATTTAACTTCATCTCTGTTGCATAATAAAGTAACTAATATACTGCTTTGTTTGCCAGTGTTTGCAAGCCCTTGAGTTTCTGCATGACAACCAGGTGATACACAGAGACATCAAGAGTGACAATATTCTCCTAGGCATGGATGGCAGTGTTAAACTGAGTAAGTGGGCACCGCATTCTGAATGTCTGGCTTGTCATGTCTAACATTTGGAGAACTTGATATATAAATGGTCACCTTTTTACTGGGCTCTCACCCTCCACTATAATTTGTTGTTGTATGGTTATCAATGTTATTTGGCATTGGCTGTCAGAAGAAGAAGAAGATATTCTCATCATCAAGTGCCTTGATCAACTACTTCTGATATGATGATAGAGATAGAAGCCATCACAGCGGCACTTGTGTGGCTAGCAGAACAGAAAGCAACACATGCAAATGAAAGTTGCTATAAGAAAAGAAAAAAAGGGATGGTTGAGATATGTGCACCACATTAAAGATATAATACTCTTTTTTAAAAATGATAGTGGAGGAAAAATATGAGGCACGAGATAGACAACAATACAAGTGTGAGGACAGCAATCTGAGAGAATGCACAACCAAGCCAGAAAAAAAGAAATTGTGAAAACGGTACTGAATGAGTGACTTCGTTCCATAGACAATTTTTAGAAATTTGAATCCAACTAGTTATGAAAAAATGTACACTTTTTTTTTTTAATAGCTGATTTTGGCTTTTGTGCCCGGCTGTCACCTGAGCAGAGCAAGCGGTCAACCATGGTTGGAACTCCTTATTGGATGGCACCAGAAGTTGTTACCAGGTATTGCTTGTTTGACTTTGTCTCCTTAGTATGTTGTTATTCTTTTTGCTATATATTGAGCTTCCTAGAGATGTTACTGTTGTTGTTTGTTCTCTGCTGCTGCTGCCTTTACTGTTTTTATATGTCAGTGCTTCAAATAAATACTACAGAGCTACGACTATTGAGCTGAGTTCCTCTTGTGTAAGCTTCAAGTGTATAATGTTATATTGTACAGAATGGAAGTTGTTAGCCTAACAATTTGCTAGACATACTGAGGAGGAGATCGGAGCACTTATGATCATGTCTGATGTGCGATGATTGTTGGTTGAGTTGAAAGGAGCTGTGTAAGCTGGTGGGACAGCTAGCTGTATAAAATTACCTCAACTCCCTGACATGGCCATTGATAGCTAAGATACACCATACATAACCTCTCCTGTCCTGCTCTCTGCAGAGTAAGTCTCTTTGGACAAACCAGACCGCAAGGGGAGACCTAGTAAACCATGCCTTGGCACGTTAGGAGATGAGTGAAACTAGAAAATATTGTGACCGCTGGGAAGATTTGTGGAAGGAGAGATAGAGGAAGACAATATGAGAAGATTCTTGACAGTCTTTTGTCATGGCATGGAAGGATATCAGCACATGAACTAATACATGCAGTTGCTGGTTGCAGGCTGTGGAGAGCATGATCACCAATGCCAGTCAGCAAGGCACTTGATGACAATGCCACAGTTTGATGTTAACACTTAGAAATAACTTCTTTTTTTTGTATGTGCGTAGGACAGACTGACATTTAACCAGGACATCACACCAAGCGATAAACACCCAGTGACACAAAGTGCCACCATTTGGATGAAGATTGCCCAGGGACAGGTCCCAGAAACCCTGCTCAACCCATAGGCTGGATTATATTAGGGTCCCTAGCAACAGCCAGGGTGGGACTTGAAAAAAAAAAAAAATTACGTCCAACATTGAGACACTGTGTTAGGTATATTGTGTGTCTGAGGCTGTTCACCTTCCAATTATACGTAATAAATAATTTTACCTCTTGAATTTCAGAAAACAGTATGGGCCAAAGGTTGATATTTGGAGTTTAGGTATCATGGCCATTGAAATGATTGAAGGAGAGCCTCCTTATCTCAATGAAAACCCTCTGAGGGTGAGTGCATAGACGATTTATCATAAACTTGTATTGTGGTTTGTGCTTGTCTAGTGCTTCAGGGTGTGCTGTGATCTCATATAAGTGTGTAAAATCTGGCACTTCAGGTTGTGCTGTGATCTCTTATTAGTGTATAATAACTGGTACTTCAGGGTCTGCTGTGATCTCATAAATGTGTGTAATAACTGGTACTTAAGGATGTGTGATTTCATATAAGTGTATAATAACTGGTACTTCAGGGTATGCTGTGATCTCATATATGTGTATAATAACTGGTACTTCAGGGTATGCTGTGATCTCATATATGTGTGTAATAACTGGTACTTCAGGATGTGTGATCTCATATAAGTTTATAATAACTGGTACATCAGAGTATGCTTTGATTTCATTTAAGTGTGTAATAGCTGGCACTTCAGGGTGTACTATGATCTCATATAAGTGTGTAATAGCTGGTACTTCAGGGTGTACTGTGATTTCATATAAAGGTGTTATAGTTGGTACTTCAGGGTGTACTATGATCTCATATAAGTGTGTAATAGCTGATACTTCAGGGTGTACTGTGATCTCATATAAGGGTGTTATAGCTGGTACTTCAGGGTGTACTGTGATCTCATATAAGTGTGTACATGGCTGCTACTCCAGGGTGCGCTGTGATCTCATATAAGTGTATACATGGCTGCTACTTCAGTGTGTGCTGTGATCTCATATAAGTGTGTACACGGCTGCTACTTTACTTCAGTGTGCGCTGTGATCTCATATAAGTGTACATGGCTGCTACTTCAGGGTGCACTGTGATCTCATATAAGTGTGTACATGGCTGCTACTTTAGGGTGCGCTGTGATCTCATATAAGTGTGTACATGGCTGCTACTTCAGGGTGCACTGTGATCTTATATAAGTGTGTACATGGCTGCTACTTCAGGGTGCGCTGTGATCTCACATAAGTGTGTACATGGCTGCTACTTTACTTCAGGGTGTGCTGTGATCTCACATAAGTGTATACATGGCTGCTACTTTACTTCAGGGTGTGCTGTGATCTCACATAAGTGTGTACATGGCTGCTACTTTACTTCAGGGTGTGCTGTGATCTCATATAAGTGTACATGGCTGCTACTTCAGGGTGCACTGTGATCTCATATAAGTGTGTACATGGCTGCTACTTCAGTGTGCGCTGTGATCTCATATAAGTGTGTACATGGCTGCTACTTCAGTGTGCACTGTGATCTCATATAAGTGTATACATGGCTGCTACTTCAGGGTGCGCTGTGATCTCACATAAGTGTATACATGGCTGCTACTTCAGTGTGCGCTGTGATCTCATATAAGTGTGTACATGGCTGCTACTTCAGGGTGCGCTGTGATCTCATATAAGTGTATACATGGCTGCTACTTCAGGGTGTGCTGTGATCTCATATAAGTGTGTTCATGGCTGCTACTTTACTTCAGTGTGCACTGTGATCTCATATAAGTGTGTACATTGCTGTTACTTTACTTAAGGGTGTGCTGTGATCTCATATAAGTGTGTACATGGCTGCTACTTCAGGGTGCACTGTGATCTCACATAAGTGTGTACATGGCTGCTACTCTACTTCAGGGTGCGCTGTGATCTCATATAAGTGTGTACATGGCTGCTACTTCAGGGTGCGCTGTGATCTCACATAACTGTGTACATGGCTGCTACTTTACTTCAGGGTGCACTGTGATCTCATATAAGTGTGTATATGGCTGCTACTTCAGGGTGCACTGTGATTTCATATAAGTGTGTACATGGCTGCTACTTCAGGGTGCACTGTGAACTCATATAAGTGTGTACATGGCTGCTACTTCAGGGTGCACTGTGAACTCATATAAGTGTGTACATGGCTGCTACTTCAGGGTGCGCTGTGATCTTATATAAGTGTGTACATGGTTGCTACTTCAGTGTGCGCTTTGATCTCAAATAAGTGTGTACATGGCTGCTACTTCAGGGTGCGCTGTGATCTCATATAAGTGTGTACATGGCTGCTACTTCAGGGTGTGCTGTGATCTCATATAAGTGTGTACATTGCTGTTACTTTACTTCAGGGTGCGCTGTGATCTCATATAAGTGTGTACATGGCTGCTACTTCAGGGTGCACTGTGATCTCACATAAGTGTGTACATGGCTGCTACTCTACTTCAGGGTGCGCTGTGATCTCATATAAGTGTGTACATGGCTGCTACTTCAGGGTGCGCTGTGATCTCACATAAGTGTGTACATGGCTGCACTTTACTTCAGGGTGCACTGTGATCTCATATATGTGTGTACATGGCTGCTACTTCAGGGTACACTGTGAACTCATATAAGTGTGTACATGGTTGCTACTTCAGGGTGCACTGTGATTTCATATAAGTGTGTACATGGTTGCTACTTCAGGGTGCACTGTGAACTCATATAAGTGTGTACATGGCTGCTACTTCAGGGTGCACTGTGAACTCATATGAGTGTGTACATGGCTGCTACTTTACTTCAGGCTGCACTGTGATCTCATATAAGTGTGTACATGGCTGCTACTTCAGGGTGCGCTGTGATCTCATATAAGTGTGTACATGGCTGCTACTTCAGGGTGCACTGTGAACTCATATAAGTGTGTACATGGCTGATACTTTACTTCAGGCTGCACTGTGATCTCATATAAGTGTGTACATGGCTGCTAATCAGGGTGCGCTGTGATCTCATATAAGTGTGTACATGGCTGCTACTTCAGGGTGCGCTGTGATCTTATATAAGTGTGTACATGGTTGCTACTTCAGTGTGCGCTGTGATCTTATATAAGTGTGTACATGGCTGCTACTTCAGGGTGTGCTGTGATCTCATATAAGTGTGTACATGGCTGCTACTTTACATCAGGGTGCACTGTGATCTCATATAAGTGTGTACATGGCTGCTACTTCAGGGTACACTGTGATCTTATATAAGTGTGTACATGGCTGCTACTTCAGGGTGCACTGTAAACTCATATAAGTGTGTACATGGCTGCTACTTTACTTCAGGGTGCGCTATGATCTCATATATGTGTGTACATGGCTGCTACTTCAGGGTACACTGTGATCTCATATAAGTGTGTACATGGTTGCTACTTCAGTGTGCGCTGTGATCTCGTATAAGTGTGTACATGGTTGCTACTTCAGTGTGCGCTGTGATCTCATATAAGTGTACATGGCTGTTACTTCAGGGTGCACTGTGATCTCATATAAGTGTGTACATAGCTGCTACTTCAGGGTGCGCTGTGATCTCATATAAGTGTGTACATGGCTGCTACTTCAGGGTGTGCTGTGATCTCATATAAGTGTGTATATAGCTGGTACTTCAGGGTGTGCTGTGATCTCATATAAGTGTGTACATGGCTGCTACTTCAGGGTGTGCTGTGATCTCATATAAGTGTATACATAGCTGCTACTTCAGGGTATGCTTTGGTAGATGCACTCTGAATTCAAAGCAAACACCCATAATTATTCACATTTTACTTGATGCTTGTTATGGGGAAGTTGGTCTGTCACAGTTAATGAGGACTCCGAACATATACAGATGCACTGTACTTAAATACGGAGAGACACCTTTTGCGCTGCATGTGGTAAGTTGTATTTTTAGTCTATACTTGGCAGTACACAACTTTAATACCTGCCACCTTATGGTTCTTTTACAGGCTCTTTATCTCATTGCGACCAACGGCAAGCCAGATATCAAGGAGAAGAATAAACTGTCCCCGGTCTTTCAAGATTTTCTGGACAAATGTTTGGAGGTTGATGTTGACAAGCGTTCATCTGCTTCTGAGCTTTTAAAGGTGGGGACTGAACTGGGCTGTTTTAAGTTTTTATGTTACTTGGTTTACACATTGTTAGTTTGAATAAAGAAGACACAAACAATGTTTAAAACATGAATGCTCTGTGCCCGTTTACATCTTCTTCAGTATTCCAAGCCCTTGAGGTTAGTTTCTGCAGATATCACCCATCTCCATTCATCTCTCTGGTTGGCCTTCTCTTTCCAGTTGGTGACACAAAGTGTTTGCAGGTCTGTCTGGGCGTTATCTTTCCAGCGTTTTCTTGGTCTGCCTTGTGGTCTACGACCATTCATCTTCTTTGTGTGTACGGTTTTCACCTCCCTGTCATCTTGACATTCTCTCAGTATGCCCCAACCATTATTAGATCTTATGATGCCAGTTATCAATGGTGATTTAAACAGATTATAAATTTCGTTGTTGCTTCTCACTCTCCATTCACTGCTATTTGCATCTTTGATGGGTCCAAAGATTCGTTGTAATGCTCTGTTTTCGAAATTTTGTAATAAGGCTTCACCACTTTCAGTTGTGTTCCAAGTTTCAGAGCCATATAAAACCATGGCGTTATCAACGTTTTTAGTATTTTGATCTTGTTGTTGCGAGATAGAGTCTATGACCTTAGCATATGTTGAAGGGCATAGTATACAACATGTTTACAACATGCCTGCAGTATTTGTGCCTTTCGGCAGACACATCCAGTTTATGCAGACTGTTGTTGTTCCGGTTAGCCCTTCTAGAAATAAGTCATTTATTTGCTTCCTTATATTTTTCTGTTACTGTAGTATGCTACTGATGAGATACAATGAAATATGCCAGGCATTAAATTGTGCAGTCTGTTGTTTGTGTGTTCTTTGTTCAAATTTACAATTTTGTTTCCTTAAAAGTTAGTTGCGTATCCTTTACGGCAATGGTTCTCAACTTTCCTAATGCTGTGACCCTTCAATACAGTTTCTTTATTTTGTGCTACTTTATGACTTCAGTAAATATGTTTTCTGATGGTCTTAGGCAACCACTGTGAAAAGATCGTTCGACCCCCAGAGGGATTTTGACCCACAGATTGAGAACCACTGCTTTACAGGATGTTGCAGAACCAGCCCCAGCATCTGTTGGCTGTAGGCAATCTTACATTCAGTAATTTGCCATGTTATCGGGGGAGGGGGGGGGGGGCTTTCATAGCACTAGGGATTTTGTGGAGGTCAAAAGAAATTGAAACTAATACTAAAGTTTTTAATTCTGTTGTCACATCAGTACTGTTGTATGGAGAGGAAACATGGAGAACAGTTTAGGCAATTACTGATAAACTACAAACAGTCATTAACTGGTACCTGCACAGAATAGAGGGGATTAACTTATATGATAGAATCAGTAATGTAAAGCTTTTTTGAGAGAACTAAAAAAGTTCCATTGCACCAAGAGGTGAAGAAAAGATGCTGGCATTGGATAGGACACACGTTATGAAAACAATATAACTAGAATGTCTTTGCCCTGAACCCACAATGGCATAGAAATAAAGGAAGACCAAAAAACACATAGAGAAGGGAGCTAGAGAGTGAAGTTCAAAAGGTAAGGAGGACATGGGAAGAGCTGCATACGATAGAGAAGGATATAATAATCTGGTGTGAGTTTGAGGGCTTATGCTCCTTCGGGGATTAGAATGGTAGAAGCACCAAGCACTCAGCTCCATTACTTTGGAAATGAAACCATGGGCTCTAGTCCATATGTGAAAAGGAGTTAGCAAACCAAAGTCAAAGACAAACAGAACTTCAAGAATTTAATGGAAATCACCCACCTTTCTGCTGTATTCAATAGAATTAAATAATAATAATAATATGGTAACGCCAACTGAATCAGAATATCAGATGACATCGAGGGTTGGACAGTTCATGATTAACATGTCTGCTTCAGATCAGGTACTTAAATAAAATCAAAAGAATCACCAGATTTTGGTCATTTATATGACTTGTTACCTATTTTAGGATGGGTTGTCCTGGGAGTTAGAATTGGTCTGTTTTGTGTGTGCATGAGAGAGAGATAAAATATCCCCGCGTTCAGGAGAATTCAAACACCTGGAAATCAGATATGGGTGTTAGCCACTGAGCTCTTCTGTTTCAAAGAATTAACACATTTGTCTAATATTTTTTTTCCAACAGCATCCCTTTCTACGTTTATCCAAGCCTTTGGCTAGTCTTGTTCCCCTGATTATGGCTGCCAAGGATACTCAGAAGGGTGGCCACTGACACAATTAAATCATTGAATACAAAATGGTAAGTTTTACAGTAGCAATTTGTTACAGTGAAAGAATGTCTTCATTTGCCTTTTTCTGCATATTTAATTCCAGTTTCAGATACAAAACCTGCTTTTTCTTTTTTTTTGGTTATAAAAGGTCAATTCTACATTACAATGAGATACAGGGTAGAAGAGAAGAAGAAGAAGATTCTGCATCTCATAAAAAATCTGACCCTTTTGGTTAGCTACATAGTTAGTCAACAGGTCATCCTTTCACATCCAACCATTTAGTCCATAAGTGCTCGGATCTCCTCCTCAGTAAACCACTCAGCTACTAATGGCCGAAGAACTCAGTACAGTTTTAGTTTATTGTTATTATTTGGTTTCTTTTCTTGTCTGACCTCAGCCCATTTAACTTACTGTGCATGCAGTCTAATCATGGTTGCAGACTCACAGTGATCACTTTGTTTTCACATAAATTATTTTGTGTGTCTTGTAGAGCATTTAGTATATCAACCTGGTCCACTGCTCCTCTGCCCTCCACACCAGTCATACCTGTCAGCGTACGTGCATATCCTAGCACGAAAATAAAACTGTCATTTGTGACTGTCTCCGAGACTCCAGCCATTGTTTTCAAACATGGCCTATCTTTAGCTTACTGAGCGTACCCACTGAGTCACTGAGAAAGCATGCCCAGGTGAAGGTCTGTGTCTCCGGCCAGCTTATTAAAATGACCTCCATGGTCAGACTACTTGTAGTATCTGACCTGTTTAGTCACACTCTATTAAAACAGGATTAATGTATCTGACAGTTAAGGTAAATTCCAATTGCATATGTTATATATTTTTCAACTAGCTTTCATCCTATAACTACAAATGTATAAAGCCAGGTTTACATTTTACTGCAAAATTTGCTCATATGGGTTCTGCAGCCCTCTGGAAAAAGGGGGAGGGGGTTAGGTTTGTCTCTCCCACCACCACCCCACTCCCTCCCCCAGAATGCCATAAATACCAACTAATTATCGGTTTGCAGAAACTGGATGTTTTTGGCTGAAAGGCACAGATATCTCAGCCTTGCTATAAACCACAACTTCTTAAAAAACATGTCAAAGCCTTTTTAAGTTGAAATGTCATAGAAGAAGAACACAAATGTTTTATTCTTAGTAATTAGTTAATTAGTTAGCATAGATCATCCTCACTGCACATCAAGCAGTGGATCAGTCCACTAAAAAATGTAATTTTACTATAGCGGGTTTAGTGACTACCTAGTGCAGTGTCTTTCAGCCTTCATAATGCAGTGACCCTTTAATACAGTTGTTCCCCCCGTGTGGGTTCCGGAGCCCTACTATGGAAAAAACAAGAATAGACCCACTGCCTATCCAAAAGCATGTCGTAAGAGTCGACTAATTGGGAGCTTCCTTCGAAGTCGGAGTGCATCTGCCCGAGAGGCAAGGAACCAACAGTCTGCATACAGATCTGTCAAACGGATGCACACACAACACTCAGGTTCTGGAACAGGGCTGCAGTTCAGAAGTGGACGAACAACCAGGATTTTCCGCCGTAGTTCACAGCCGGTGAACGCGAAGAAGAAGAATACAGTTGTTCAAGTTGTGGCAACCTACAACCATACATTTTCATCGCTACTTCATAACTTCAATGAAAATGTGTTTTGCAATGGTCTTTGGCGATCCCTGTGAAAGAGTCATTTGACCCCAAAAAAGGGGTCACAACCCATAGGTTGAGCACCGCTGACCTAGTGGCTTCTGTTTCACCATTAAACAGCCGTATATTTTATATTTCTTCCTACAAAGGTATGTGAGCTTCCAGGAATCAAATCCAGGTTCTGATTTTCGTTACCTCAAGAACAAATACAAAATGGAGATTTAGTTCATTCAAGTTCTGTATATTACATTGTGGTTACAAGGTCATGTTGGCAGTTTTATTAAGGAAATCATTCCTGATGGTGATGTTTTTTTTATTGTTGAGGAAATCAGTCAAGGTAGAGATGGTTTTTGTCTAGGCAGTCGGTTCTGACAGTGACAATTTTTATGAAGGAAATATTAGTGATCTGAAGATTTTGTGAATGAAGTAAGTCCTGACAGTGACAGTTTTTGTGAAGCAAATAGGTCCTGATGGGGAAAATTTGTGTGAAGGAAATCACTCCTGTTGTGAAAATGTATGTGAAGGAAGTCAGGGTTGACAGTGTCAGTTTATGTTCCTATGACCCATCGTGGGAAACGAATGACCACACTTTACTATCAAAGGGTTACAAATTGGGCACACAGGTCCATCTTATATTCGACCCTTTCAATCACTCAGCTTTCGCACAGCAGTTGTATTTTACTAATAAAGCATGTTATCATCATATGATGATTTGCATATTATGAATATCATAAAAGAAAAAGAAAACAAGAATAGACCCACTGCCTCCCCAACCAGGATGTCATAAGAGTCAACTAATTGGGAGCTTCCTTAGAAGTTGGTGCATCTGTCTGAGAGGCAAGGAACAAACAATCAGCACACAGTTTAGTCAGATCTGTTAAACAGAGGTAGGCAAACAACCAGAACTTTCTGACGGAGTTTACAGCTATTGAACGGGAAGAAGTTACTAATTAGAAAGGATTTAGTTGCAATTGAGATTGTTCCTAGCTAGTGTAGCTAGTGTCAAATGATGAATCTGCTGTCACCATATAAATAATATGGCTACTGTTGTGACAAAATCTGACTTCACATTTGTGGATGCTTTCTGTTTTGTGTAATGGTGTGCTATTTAAAGTATGTTCAAATGTATGATGTGGTTAGAGATAGCGAACATTTTGCATGTTGGGAATGCCTCATTATCATCGTATTGCACAGAGGGTCTCAACCTGTTGTTCATAACCCCTTTAAAGTTGCTAAGACCATGAGAAAACACAGTCACTGAAGTTATGAAGTATCAGCGGTCACCACAACATGAGGAAATGTATTAAAGGTTCACAGCATTATAAAGATTGAGAACCACTGAAGTAGCAGGACCCTTGCAGAACATTGTTCTCATTACAGCCTGCCTGAAGGAAACTCAGTGTTACACCAGATCTCTCACCTTGTGCACTTCCCTTCCTAAGGTGTCACTCATAAGCCCATACACTTCATGCTGGTCGGCCCCTGCCCTACTTTCCTGTCACCATGCTTTCTGCTACTATTTTTTGCAAACTACCTTGGCATTTGATACAGCCAAAGTATTTCAGTTTTTGAGGCAAGAGTGCTGTTTATTAGCCAATCTTCCTTGATGTTCAGATCTTTGAGGATGTCAGTGTGTCTTTTCCTCTTGGTCCATGGTGTTCAGAGAATCTTTCTATTGCATTTCAGCTCAAAAGCCCTATTTTCTTCCTTAATGATTGCAAGATAATCCATGGCTCACAGCCATTATGTTGCAACAGGGACGTTGCATGCCCTATAATGTTGACCTTGATTTCCTTGCTGTTTTTTAACCATAGACTTTTAATGTTTGTGTTGGCTACAGCAAGTTGTCAATGTTTGACATGGTTAGACAAAAATATTTAGATTTATAGCTAAATGATATGTTGTAAAGATAGTTGTCCATGTTTTGTGGTGAACAGATAACTGGTGTGATGTTATATCAGCCCAGGGCCAACTAAAATCATGCATGTTTTTTATGATGGCTAGATAATGTGTGGAGAAAGTTCACGATGGCTATGTCTCAGGCCTGACTTTTTTGTTGTTGTTGTGAGATTTATTGCCTCCAACAATGTTCAGTCTTGTATGTTATTTGATGTTCAATCTTGAATTTGAACTTCATGTCAGGGATCTTGCTTCATAAAGTCTTATATGTTGTTCTTACTAGCAAAGCAATAAAAGAGCGTATGATCACCTAAGATTGTATGATTGGCTGAGAACTTTACAGCTTGTCATGGATGTCTGTGGATTCTACTACTATGAAATTGTCAGTTTGTAAGACATATATTGGTTGATGTTTTTAATGTGCATGTTTGTTACTGAATTTTTTAATCTCATGGTACTTACTGTGTTTATTTCCTGATGTTTACTATGTATATATTTTTAGTATATTATATCTTATAATTGTTTATTGTTTAGTCAGTGTCAAAAATATGATCATGATCTTTATGAAACAAATACAGTTTAAATGTTTTCTGTATTAATTTTATGTAACTTAATGTCATGCAATCTCTTTATGACATATGTAGGGAGTGTCAGAACTGACAGGAAAAGGAGATGTAAGGTTATTTCAGGCTATCCAATCTCTTTATGATATATGTAGGGAGTGTCAGAACTGACAGGAAAAGGAGATGTAAGGTTATTTCAGGCTATCCAATCTCTTTATGATATATGTAGGGAGTGTCAGAACTGACAGGAAAAGGAGATGTAAGGTTATTTCAGGCTATTCAATCTCTTTATGATATATGTAGGGAGTGTCAGAACTGACAAGAAAAGGAAATGTAGAGTTATTTCAGGCAGTCAAATCTCTTTATGATATATGTAGGGAGTTTCAGAACTGACAGGAAAAGAAGTTTTAAGATTGTGTCAGACAAAAATATTATGCAGGGTGTGTCGGAACTGACAGGAAAAGAAGTTTTAAGATTGTGTAAGACGAAAATATTATGCAGGGTGTGTCGGAACTGACAGGAAAAGAAGTTTTAAGATTGTGTCAGACGAAAATATTATGTAGGGTGTGTCGGAACTGACAGGAAAAGAAGTTTTAAGATTGTGTCAGACGAAAATATTATGTAGGGTGTGTCGGAACTGACAGGAAAAGAAGTTTTAAGATTGTGTCAGACGAAAATATTATGTAGGGTGTGTTGGAACTGTCCGGACAAAGAGATGTAAGGTTTTCCACACAGCAGGCATGATTATTTCTGTTGAAAGATCAGGACTTCATTATGTCTCTTCATAATATTTTTATGTGGATAATTCCTAGTATTTACAGTTTCTGTATGCTTTTGTAGTATTCATGTTTCTTATACATTTTACTACAAATAGATTTTTATAATGTT